TTAAGTGATCAGAAAGGAATGTTTTTATTTGCCCGCGTGTGAATTGGGTTATCTGCTTATCTTGTTTATGAAATTTGGGGCTGCCTTTCCCGCACAGTATGCTCGCCTCTCAAATCTTCCCCGGCTCCCATTTCCATATTTCTGCGTGCTTGTTCTTTGTTAATCACTTGGCAAGCGCTTATTTGAATATTAAAAATTTCTTTAATCATCAAAGGCAGGAGCACAGTCTCATGAATATTCATATTTTCCCCCTCCTCAGACTGGATTCTAGTTCATTACCCTGCAGTAAAAGCCAAACAGCCATCAATCGCCCTCATTACAGGCTGTGGCGTTTTGATTGGCTGCCGCTGCCCAGAGCTTTTTATTTTTTTAATTTTTTCCCCTTCTCCTATGAGCTGTCTCGTACCTGCCAACAACGCCCCCCCCCCCACCGGAAGAGAAAAAAATCAACAATGCAAGAATAAATTTCTGTGGTTGAAAAACAACTTTGCAAACTTGTCAAACAGTCCTTGTGCCATGCTGTCACCTTAGAGGCCACCATCGCCACCTCTTTCCCTGCGTCCTTCCCGCCCCTTCTCCCCCCAAAAAAACTCAGGGAAAAAAGAGGGACAGGAGAGAAAATTAAATAAATAAAAAAGGGAGAAACTTGAGCCTCAGAGATGAATATTTGTCAAGAGAGTTGACGTAAGTTTCATTTGCATAATGACTTTGTACTTCTGCATTAATAAAATTTGCATATGAAGCCATGTTAATTACTCCTGATCATGCTTTTTGCATTCATGCATAGTAATTTTCTCCGACTTGTGAGAATTAATGTCTTGGCATGGGGGGGAGGGGGCGCGGGGACTGTCAGGTCCCCCTGCCAGTGTCCCTCGCTCGCAGGCGCTGGCTCCCTGTCTGTCTCCTGCCTTGATCTATGACTCATTTCTGCACTATCAGTAGGAGTTCTCGCCTTAAAAAAATGTATCCGTTGAAAGGCACCAGTAGGGAAAAAAATAGAGCTCTCCCGCACAGTGTATTCCAGGCCACCTCTCTGGCTGGGAACACGGAATCTACAGCCCTCCCAGCTGGGACGCGGCGGTGGCAGGCTGGGCGCGCTGTCCCCCGCGCTGGGCGGTGGGCGTGTCGCCAAGCAGTGCGCATGCGCGAGGCCGGAGCCGGGCCTCTGCCAGGCCTGGGGAAGGGAGGTGGGCACGCAGCCGGTGCCGAAGCTGCGCCCCCACGGAGGCGGGGACAATGAGCCGGTCCCTGTGTGGCGCTCCAGACACATGCTAGGGGGCTTATTTGGAGACTTTCTTTGGGCACTTCTTTTAAAAGAGATAAAAACAGCAAGAACGCGGAGAGATTCTGACCTCATAAGCCCTCTTGGCTCGATCCCCTTCTCCAGCCTGAGCCTCAGTTTCCTCCTCTGGGAGAGGGGATCCTCGTACCTGACCTACTGCCAGGCTCTGGGGGTGCATGAGATATTCAGGGACCAGTTGTGCCTTTCTGTTCCCCTAGTTAATGGACTTCCGTGGTAAGAAATAAGCAGTTAGGGTTTCACTTACAGCTGGCAGGACGTCTTTGTCCCTCTGCCACGAACCTTGCAGCTCTGGGGTCCCTGCAAATGGAGATGCGATGTGGGTCTGCGCTGGTCCCCTGGATCCACGTGTCCTGAGTCGGACATGTCTACTCATCCAGAAAGGGGGAGAAGCTCCCAGGGGGGCACCAGTGGTGACCTTACAGAAAGCATTGCTAATTTTTATTTATTTCTGTGGGACTGGAACTGGATTCATGGGCCTCACTCGTGCCAGGCAAGCTATCCACTAGCCCAGAAAGCTTTTGTTAAGAGAGCACCCCATCTGCCAGACAGCGACCATGCTGTGAAGGACCTGTGGCCTGGAGGGAAAGTTCCAGAACTGAGAATAAACGAGGGGCAGCAACCGTGCTCACTAGATGCCTGACCCTTCAACAGTGAGCAGGCTGAGGCTCTGGGCAGGTGATTACTTTAGGAAATGGCACAGGAGGGATTGTCCCCCCCCCTTGCCTCTGAGTTGCGTGTGTGGGTGCACAGTCTATCCGTGGGGTTCTGCTGCTCCTCACCTGCATTTCAGATTCCCCGCTGCACTTTTCAAGGCAAATGCACCTTTCTGGTAAAGGGTGCAGCCAGGAGGTGGCCTGGGAGGGATACTGTGGCTCCGAGACAAAGTCTTTACATTTTATTAATCAATCTATATCTATCTATCTACCTATCTTTCTCGGTCTCTCTAACTGTCTGTCTCTTGTGGTACTGGGGAATTGAAACCAAAGCCTTCACCCTGACTGACATTCCCAGTTTTTGAGACAGACTCTTACTAAATCAATAAATTGTTCAAATTCAGATTGAACTTGCAATCCACCTGCATCTGTCTCCCAGAGTGCTGGGATTACAGGTGTGATCCCACGGTGCCTGGCTCTTGATTTTTTTTAATAAAGATATGCATGACATGCATTGCCCCTTTTATACTGAGTATGTTCACAATGTTATTCTGCCATCAGCACTGTGTAATTCCGACGTTCCTGTCTCTGAAGAGGCCCTGTACACGTGGGCCCCTGCCCTCTGCTGCCCAGGCCCTAGCAACCTCCAGTGTCTATGTCTGTGGATTTGCCTGTTCTAGATGTTTCCTGCATGTGGAATCAGTGCCTGGCAGCTTCTCTGGGCACTCTTGGCTTTCTCAGTAGCTATGGAAGAGGGTTTGTGGAGCCTCCCTCTGGGCAGAGCTCCCGTGTAGCTGTCCCCAGAGGAAAACTCCTGGGCCTGCTGGCTTCGAGTTGGCCCCTGGACCAGGCAGGCTTCTCAGTCTGCATTCCCACTGCAGGTTCCTGTCCTGGGCTACGAGGCCCCCTCTTGCCTCAGTGCATCTCTCCCTGTGTGTCTTCACTGATGCTTGCCTGGACCCATTGTTGCCCTTCCCGCGATGTCCCTAAGCCTTCTGTGGGAGGCCACTCCCTTCCTCCTGAGCTTACTCCTGCCAGGGACGGAGCCTTCTCCCCTCCTACATGGGACATCCATTGCCAGGCCATGCATGGCTCCTGCCGGCTTCATAGCTATGATGCATGGTGCTGGCAGTCTGGATGTGGCCTCGCCCAGGTCCCAGGAGCCAGAGTCTGGACGCTGGGGATCTACCAGTGACTGGGCTAAGGCAAGGACTCTCAGGCTCCCCTACCTGCGGCACATGGCCCTCACTCAGGACCCTGAGGTGCCTGGTCCTTCCATTCAGCTGTAGCTATCAAGGGAGGCTTTGGAGACACAACTGGGGTCACATCCTGGGGCTCCTGAGCCTCAGTTTCCCATTAGGAATAGGAATGGTCCTCCCTGATGAGCAAGGGGTTGTGGTGTACTCAGCACAGAGCCATGTGGATCTGGAACCTTCTGAAAAGAGGACCACGTTGGGATTCAAGGCCAAGTGTGGCTGGGGTCTGGTGGGGCCAGGGCTATCAGCAAGGACTGGCCAGGATGAGCTTATGGGAGGAGGCTGGTGACATAGTGGCCTCAGATGCTGACTTTCTTCAGGGCCACACTTGGTCTAGGACTGGGGCTCCTCAGGGCCAGCTCCTTCTGAGGCTCTGGTCAATTAGGAAAGACCTGGGTCTCTGTCCTGGCTGAGTACAAAGTCTCAAAGGTTAGAGCAGTGTTGGGGTTTGCTTTGTTGAGCATCTTGGCAGCATATTGACAGCCCCCTAAGTCTACACTAGGTGTCTTCTCAAATGCCCTCATGTCCTTAATCCTGGAATTACATTTTGGAGAAGCAGAGGTAAGAATTTGGAGACAGGTAGTGGGTTTTGATGGGGCTGCCATTGGGGCCTGCAGTCTGTAGCAGTCTGGGCCTCAGTTTCCTGATTTGAGCACAGGGTATTCTAAGTGCCTGCCCTGTGATTGCGTTGGGAAGCTTAGCTGTGGAAGATTGACAGCTCCTAGCTTGGAGAGGGTGCACAGGGCCCTGCGGCTGTCCTGGAACAAGGGAAAAGGCATGGTGATGTGGAGTGGGCAGATCCCTTCTTGTGCAGACCTGTGTCAGGAGGTGAGGGCCGAGGCCTCCCTGGCCGGGCCTGCCTGGCTCAGCTGCCCATCGCCCTGTTGATGTTTTCTTTCTGTCTCTCTGATGCTTCCCTGCTCAATCATTTACCCAGGGAATTTGGGCTTCTTCACTTGTGGTTTTGGCAAGGGCTTCACACAAATGTTTTGCCCTGGTGGTCTCTTAGCCATGTAAGATAAACGGCCAAATCAAACGCAGGCCTTGCCCGCAGCCCAGGCGAGCCGTGGGGCCCTGGCCTGGCTCTGGTCCCTGCTGTTGCTGTCACGTGGGGGAGTGGGGACTCACAGCCTGGGCTGAGACATTCGGAGGGGTCCAAGCAGTGCCCGGTTCCCTGCCCGCAGGCGGTAGAGAGAGGAGGGTGTCAAGGCCTTGTGAGGGTTACTGGGGCTTGGGTACAGCCAGCAGGAGGCTGGGATGAAGCCTGAATCCTGGAGGCCCATTGGTCCAAAGAGCCCATCTTCCTGTAACAGACAGTGGTGGCTCTGTGCATCCCAACCGTTCCAGAACGGGGTGGACTGGATTTTTGGGCACAGATCCTCAGATGGAGCCTGCTCCAGTTCTCTCCTGAAGACCCTTCATGGGGTGAGGGGTCTTTCCTGGTAGCAGGGCCCTGACAGTCCCTGGGTGCCCCAGGCGCCTACATGAGGCCTCCAGAGGCCCCCGGGGGTCCCGCCCAGCCCCCAGACAGCCCTGCCTGGCAGCTGTGAACATAGGACTCTCCCAGGGTCCTCCCCCACCTTCACTTCTCGGACCCCTTCTCCCCTGCCTGAACCCTGGTCACCTTCCTCATAGGGCTGGGCATCCCCGGGCCTCCCACAGCCCTCCTCCTGCCCTTGAAGCTGGCCTGCGGCCTTGTAGGCCTGCACCCTGGCCCTTCCTGTGCCCCAAGTCCCTTGTGCAGCCCAGGGCCCGACTGACCAGTCTTTTCTATTGTTTTTTCTCTAGGGCCGTGCAGGCCTGCCCAGCTGCCAGCGATGGCCCCCATAGCTGCCTCCTCCTCCCTCCCTCACACATCCGCGATCACTTCACCTCTGCGGGCCCTGGGCGCACTCCCGCCCTGCTTCCCGCTGCCCTGCTGCAGTGCGCGCCCAGTGTCGGGCGACGGGACTCAGGGTGAGGGTCAGACGGAGGTTCCCTTTGGATGCCAGTGTCAGTTGTCAGGTAACAGACGCCGCCGCGGTGGGGGGTTGGGCTCCCGGGATGGGGGGCTTGACCTGGGGCGCAGCTGGGGACCCAAAGTGGGGACTCACAGAGACAATGTGACCTTTGCCCACAAGGTGTTTTTTGGGGGTGCAGGGGAAGTGGTGAAGGATGTGAACAGAATCATGGCCCCATGCCTGGTCCCGTTGGGTCAAGCGGCTCCCTGCTTCCCTGCGCCCCCACCATTCTGAATCTTAGTCCCAGCATGCACCGCCCTGCCTCTGCATTTCATCTCTTTGGGCTGTTTAGCTAAAGCTTAATTGGATAACGCTTAACATCTGAGGTTTCCTTCTGCCCTTGCCCCGCCCCCGCCCCCCCCCCCCCTCCCCGACAAGGCCAGGAGAGGATTCCAGGGTTGTCTGCGTACATCGCTGGAGCCGTCCAAAATGCTGAGTTTCTCTTTGGGACAATGTGTTGCCCATTAACTTAGAGGAGAAAAAAAAGTCACTCCAAAGGAGACTGTTAAAAAGCTGCGGCCACAGGGCGGGAGCTAGGAGCTCCGGGAGCCTGTGGCAGGGAGAAAGGGACCAAGACCCCTGACCTGTCCACCTCTGCTGCCTTCCCACCCTGCCCCCCGCCCCCCAGGCCCAGGGTGCTGCGGCCTCGGGCCCTCGGTGTTGCAGGCAGAGACCTCCTAGTGGCCCCTGGCGGGCCGGGCGTGCAGTATGGTGTTTGTGGCCGCCTAAGCCAGGATGCTGACACAGGCTCACGTGGCCGGTGGCTGTCGCCTGGTTTCGTGGCAGGGGCCTGGAAGGGAGAGGGCGGCTGCAGAGCGAGGGCAGAGTCAACTTGCCTCTGCTTTGTCACCAGGCACGTTGCAGCCTTTCTCTTGACTCAACTTGTGAAAGGGGAACTGTTTTTACTTCGTAGGTTTTGCTTTCGTTGACACCTTCCCAAAGGACATTCTGGTGGAGCTGCACAAAGCCTCCAGGTAGCCCTTGTTCCGGGGCACAGACTCCCTGGGCCTGCCTGCTGGTGGGGTGGCCTGCAGCCATCGTATCCCCTGCTGTGCAGGTGGTGACACAGGATTGAGCTCTCACTGGGGAGTCTGGGTTCTTCCTGGGCTTGTGCCTTTGATACACAAAGCAGAGACTGTAACAGCCCTGGAAGGCGTTGGAGCCACTTGCAAAGAGCCCGGCTTCCTGTTCTGTCCGGGATGCTGGCTCTCCAGTGTGGCTGGGGCTCGGGGCTCGCTTCTGGGACTCCGTGGGAGACCCTTCTTGTTGAGTGGCTGCCCTGCGCTCATGGCTTCCTGTAATTAGTGTTGCAGCCCCGCGGCCACTCAGGGGGCCACGCTATCAAAGATCAGCCTGAGTGTTTACGACTGGACTCGGTCAAGTTCTGCGTGTAGAAACATGATCGCCTCGCCAGCGGCGCACGGCCGGGGTTTGCTTAACCCTCTGCTGGCTCTGGCCCGCCTCAGAAGCTGCCAAAGTGGAGTTGGCCTGGGTACTGCGTGCGCCTCCTCTGGGGGCCAGGCCTTGTGGCAGCTGTGCGTCCCACCGGCAGGAGCTTTTCCTGTGGCTGTGCTGTTGAAGGGGTGTGACAAAGGCTCAGGAGGCTGAGTGGCTGCAGTGCAGGTGGCAGCACTGGCCTGTGTCCTTGCAGTGCTTCCTGTGGTGGCGCTGCCTCTCCCCACTGAGCCACGTGCTCTGTCTGTGGCTGTGGGTCTGTCCTGTCACGCTCATCCCTGTCCCCGATGAGGACCACATCCTTGAATATGACGTGTGCAGTCTTCCTCTCCTTCTGCTCTAAGGATGTGCCCCTCAGACGCTGAGACTCGTCACCCACCCCCTGGCCCGTTCTCCAGCCCAGAACTCTTTGCTGCCTGCCTGGTTTGCGGGCCCCGTGTGTGTCAGGTGGAGGCGGGCACGTGGGTCCTGGCTGGCCTGTGGCTGGTGGTGTGGTGTGGGAGGAGAGGGCACGGGGACCTGTCTGGAGTGGGGAAGCGGAAAGGAGTGATGAGCCGGCAGGGGGAAGTGGCCCTCATCCCTCACCTGCCCCACCGTCAGCCTTACCTGGACCTCTGGCTTGGAGGCTGTGTTGGTTTTAGGGCTGGGGCTCTGGGCTCTGGGCATCTTGGCCACAGTGGCTGGGGAGGTGAGGAAAGGCCGGGTGCTCCTCCTGAGGGGCCTGCCCTGGCCTCCGACCTTCCACCACGATGTTTACTTCGCCTCTCTGTTCTTCTGTATCGGGTCCCTGTTCCTCAGCCGGTACCGGCTTGGCCGCCACAGTTTTGTTCGATTTCAGCATCTGAAAATACCGTGTTCCAGTGGCTTTTGTTCCTCTGTGGGTTCTGTCCCTGGCACTGGGCTGTTGGCCTCAGTGTTCTTAGTGCCTGTTTAATTAGTAGCCGGAATGGAGTCATTAAGTTCCCAGTAGCCCGTTAGGAAGAGGCAGTCCACCGTGGGGTGCTGGGGGCGGCTGCCTTTACTTTGTTTTGTTCCTTTTCTGACCAGGAAGCGATGAAGACACCCCTGCAAATTAATACGGGAAACCCCCGTGTACACGTGTTTTGCACAGCTTAACTGTGTGCGGTGCATGCGCTCAGAGTCGTTTGTAGGAGAGTGTGATTTTTATGGGAAAAACTGCACAGGTGCGTGTATATCCTGCTGTCCCCAACAGCCCCGACCCCCTGATTGGGTCACCATGGTGGGAGGGACGTGAGGCCTCCTCCTTTGGGACTGTGCTGCTGACCTGTGGGCTCTGCGTGCAGGCCATCCTGGGGACCAGGACGGCTTCCGTGAGGGGATTCCCCTAGAGGATGTGCTCAGGTGGCGACTTGTTGCTGGTTGTCTTGGAGCCTCAACTTATATGTGTACACATGTGTGTAACATGTCCGTCTGTCTCTCTCACTGTCTGTCTTTTGGTACTGGCGATTCAACCCTGGTCTTCTGCCCTGAGCTCCATCTCCAGCTTTATTTTTTAAATGTAATTTTGAGACAAGGTCTCACTAAGTTGCTAAGTTGCCCAGGCTGGGCTCAGACTTGGGATTCTCCTGCCTCTGCCTTCCAGAGCCCTGGGATTACCAGGTTTGGCTTATATATATAAGATTTTAAAACGAGTGAGGCTTCTCACTACCTCTCCCCACTGAGCCACCTGCCTGAAGCAAATTGATGTAGGGCTGCCAGGATGGTTTGGGCAAGGGATGGGTGAAGATTCCAGGGCTGGGCTGGGGTATATAGAAGACAGCTGAGACCCACTGGGGTCCCCTTACCCCTGCCAATACATGTTTTGAGGCCTCTTTGACTGGGAAGGGCTCATCTGTGTGTGACAGAAGGCTAGGGGATGAAGCATGTTGCTGTGCGGCTTTGGATAAATCATTTCCCCTTTCTCCCCCTCAGTTTTCCCATCTGTAAAATGGGTAATGATCGAACATGCTCCAAAGGGTCATTCTGAGGTTTGTGAGAACAGTGCCCCAGGGAACTTAGGATTCACCCAGGAGCTGAATAGATGCCACCACATGCCAGGCTATGTGTCTGAGCTACATGTCTGAGCTGCTTCCTGGTCCCAGGATTAAAAGCAGTGAGCCGCTTGCCTGGTGCAGATCATACACCGGAGTCAGGAGGGAGGGGGGAAACTGAGGCACTCTGTCTTATACTGAAGAGCTCCCTCGAGCGGTCCTCAGCTGCAGTGACTGCTACACACGCTTGGTGAGGTTCAAGGTCTCACACAGGAACTCACAGGATCCCAGCCTGGGGAAGCAGAAGTGTGTGGATTTAATAGAGGGCGTCAGTGGCGGTCATTAGTATATGCTGAAATCACAGGGCAATCTTGTAAAGTTAAACTCAATTTACTTTTCTACTGAATTTGTGCTTGCTGTGTTAACTAGTCTGGGGATTCTTGGCATGGGTTAAAGAGACAATAAAGATAAAAGAATACCTGTAAGTAAATAGTAGGGTTTCACAGTAGAATCTATCCTTTCCCCCTCCTTCAATTACAACCCAGTGTTCATTTTGCGTCGGTTTTATAGCCCGAGCTGTCCAATGGGATGCCTACACTGGACCACCCTAGCTGTGAGGCTTGGTACAATTAATACAGTCTGTCTGGAAAGCGGCCTTATTTCTGGAAGTTTTATGTTAATGATATGGTCTGTGCTTTGCACATTTCATACCAGAACAAGAAGCGAGCTGGAGTTTCTTTCTGGACTGGGTTTGATTAGCGGCGGAGGATCACTGGGCAGGGAAACAGTGCTGCTGGACCGAGATGGCAGCCCTCTCTGGGCTGTATGTGCCACCGAGGTTCTGGGTGGGGCGTGCCAGAGGCGCCCGGTGGGGGGCATTAGAGCCTCCACGCAGACCCTGGAGGGCGGGGTGAGTATGGGGAGATGAGGAGAGAGCCCTGCGAGGGCTCAATGTGGATCGACTCCTGGGGTGCCCTCTGCAGCGTCACCCTAGTTGCTAGGGTCTGTCTGGGCCCCTCGGGGTCCAGTGTCAGTTAACTCTGCCTCAGCCGAGAGGCTTTTGGGGAAGCTATTAAAAATGCGGGGTCACCTGTATTTTTATTTTTAATGTCTACATTGCTGAAAGGGCAGGTGGTCCCAGCTCTCAGAACCCAGCATTTTCGGCACGGTTGGCCACCCCTGAATGCCAGCTCTTGGATTCTGTGCTGGTGTCCGCTGCCCAGGGCCCACACGCCCCCTTCTGCAGCCAGAGGAAATGCCAGGAGCAGCTGCATGGCCTCCAGAGTCTGGGGAGCAATGATTCTCCCGGCCACATAGGCAGCCAGGGGTGACAGGGCTTTGGCGGACTCCAGAAATGCCTCCTGTCCGTGGCGTCGGAAATCACGTCTTTGGCACTGGCAGGGCCAGAGGAGCGGGACATGGAGCCAGCCACAGCCTGTGGCGGAGTTGGGGGGTGGGGCACCCACCAGCACGGTAAGGGGGTGCAGTGACGTCCTGGTGCAGACCCCGCTGCCGCCCTCTCTGAGCGGCCGGCTCTTCAGACGTGAGGAAGGCAGGG